GACGGGCGGGGTCGTGAATCCCCTCCGTGCTCGGTACCTGTACTGCCACTCGTAGCGTCAACGAGGAAGCGTACCCAGCCACCTGTACGATTCGTCTAAGGAATGCAACCTGGGAATAGCAAGTGCGCATATTATGCATGCCTTCACCTCCGCGACCTGGCGGCGGTACGTAGGTTGTAGTGTCTTGACAGGCAATATCGCTACACGTACACACTTCTAGGGGGGTTACAGACTGCACAGACTTACCATGGACAGTGGCGGGTGAATGGCACCCGGTCTGACATCCTTGCGTAGCCTCACACTGGGAGGAGGGTAACCTTTACCCGATCCCGCCCTGTCTTCTTGGCTCGTGGCCAGCAGCAAACACTAAAGGATGCTCCTGGAGCTCGGGTAAGCAACAGAACCCACGCTCCTCGGTCGACCTTAAGGCTATCCATGCACATGCCGGAATGTTGCATGGGCCAGCCGACGACACGTGCATCACCATGCTTCCCTGTCCTTCGCTACGTAAGGGGTTCGACTCAGCTTACCTCACTTATCTCAGCTTGACGTTCACGGCAGTTTCGGCACATGATACGTCCCCGCTGGTTGCCACGTCAATTTCCTCATGCTACTGTGTCTCCGCGGGAGATGTTTCCTCGGAATGGCGGCTTTCCATAAGCGGACAACGTTCCGGAGCATTGTCCCCGACATAGGTCTTGAGGTCGTCGACCGCTACCACACTAGGTGAGTCCGTCTTCTCAGCCTGCACCCAGCGAAGCGTCCCCTGCTTCCGTGTTACCAGGAGCGGACCTTGCCAGGGAGTGCCCAGTTTTCCAGAAGCAGGCACGTAGTATCGCCACACCCAGGTGCCAGGCGGCAAGGCAGTCGGTTTGACACGTTTGTCATAATTCCGCTTCTGCCTTTCCTAGCTGCGTACGTGCGTGCTGGTGCGCAGCACGAATGGATTGTCTCACCCACTCAACGTATTCCACCGGGCAGGCTGGATATTCCAGTCCCGGCAGGCAGTTGAACATGAGGTCCACTGGTGATCCAACCTCACGACCGAACATCATGAGATTCGGACTCGCCCCCGTACTCTCCTGAGGTGTACTACGGTAGGCTGCCATAACGAAAGGGAGATGCTCATCCCAGTCGTTTTTCTGTGCCTCTCCAACCTTCGCAAGCATATCCAGAATGGTACGGTTAAGTCTTTCAACTAGTCCGTCCGATTGAGGATGATACGGGGACAAGCGGGTTTTGTCTATTTCAAGGAGTTTGCAGATTTCCGCGAACAGCTTCGCCTCAAAGGACCTACCCTGGTCGGAGTGCAGTTGGCAGGGGCAACCGAGTCGAGCGAACAGCTGCGTCACCAGGCACTCGGCCGCGGTTTGATCGGGAACAGTATACGCCTCCGCCCTCTTGGTTAAATAATCACAAGCGAGTAGTGCATACTTATTCCCACTCCCGGTAGAGGGCAGTGCCCCGACAAAGTCAATAGCCATCCTCTCCCATGGAGCGCCAACAGATTGCTGATGTAACCCTGCTTACTTTCTGTGCGTATCCTTAAGTGTCCCGACATCCTTCCACCGTGCAGGAGCTGCAAGAGCTCCTCCCGGAGGCACGGCGGGGCTATGAAGAGGAATCTGGTATTTCCTGGGGCGTACCTCGGGGTCCATGTCTGATAGAGCAGGCCTCTCCATACTCTTAGACGGTCCCAACACTCCAAGTACCTTTTCCCCTCCCAAGACTCGTCTGCCAGCGAAGAGTATGGAGGTTGCTCCACACTCTTGCTTCAACTGGCATACCTGGTTCGGTCCTCTTCCTGCCATTGACGCACTCGCTTAGTCGTCAAGCGAAAGAGGGTCTCGTCTGCAGGGTCGCGGGCTCGTGACTGCACCTACGGTCGTATGAGGGCGCGGGGTACTCGTCCCCTAACCTTCCGCACTACCCGGATGGCAGGCCACGCTTGCCCAGTTGAGGAGTACTCGGGCAGTCTACACGCTTGCAGGCTCGGGCTCCCGTCAAGCAGGATAGCGCGACTGCATTAGCGTGAAGTTTTCCCCACCGGTGCTCGATCTTCAGGTCAAACGTTCCAAGAAATTCATGGCATGATTGTTGCGCACCATAAAGGGGCTGCCGATCAGATATTGCCTGAATTGTTTCGCGAACGTGACCACGGTCAACAGCTGGTCGTACAATACGTGTTGAGTTGAGCCCGTCCGAAGCTCCTCACGGATTAAATCTCGCATCAGCCGTGTGATGTCGCTGAGGTGCTCGGGTCCGAGCCTCAACCTTCCACTCACCTCTGCGGATGGCAGGCATCTTCCTTACGTCGGCGTCTCCCGGCGCTGGTCGCGGATCTCCGATGTGCTGGCTATCGGTCGCACATCCGGTCTGCGGGACACTGACGGCCTAGCCGAGCGCATGATAGACTCGTATTGGTCTTCTGACGACAAGTTCCAGGCACAGTCCCCCTCATCGCCGATATCTCCTTTCCCTGCGCATCTCTTTTCATTGCCGATCTCAACGGGAAGCTCCCATGCAGCCTGTGGCCGAGCAAGGGCATCCCAGAGAACTTGCGTTTCATAGTAGTCGGTGATGTGCGTCGTCCTGCTGCTACTCGTTTCTCGACCGCTGCCTAGCATCATGGCTCTTGGCAGCACCAGTCGAAGAAGGAAAGGTGGCCGTTTCTTCAGGATGCGTAGCACCATATTCTGCTGCAGGTGACACCGGAAAACGGGGCAACGAGGTTGCTCTCCGCGTTTCTCGACCTCCCACCTGCTTTGCATGGGTAGCAATGGGCATAAGTCTAGCTCTGCCCTAGGCTATAGGGGGGTGTACTAGTCACCCTTCACCCTCGACCTACGTAAGGTATGGGTAAGCTGATGGCAGTGCCAACAAGGGATAACCCAGTGACGATACACAACTCAAGTTACCGTGGGCAGAAACGTGAGGTGTGGGTAAAGCTGATGGCAGTGCCAACAAGCGAAACCCAGTGACGACACGTTAGGTGCTTATGCTATCCTGAACTACGGGCGCGTTTGCTTTGTAGACTCTCGGAGACTGTTAGCATTGCCGCCAGCCTAGGCAGCAAGCTCAGTCTACCAAGTGTACAATCCTGGTCACGGCACCAGTGTAACTTTTTCCCCATCACGCGGGACGCTCCCACTGTTCGACCACTGGATTGTATGAGTCAACACAAGAACAAACAACACAACTCAAAAGTAAGTGTTCATGCCGGGAGTAGGCCCGAGGCTTTTATTCTCCCCTGGTCAACAGACCAGGGTGAGCATAAAAATGGTGCAATACTCCTCGCAGCGTAACGCCCTAGTATAATAACAGATGCAACTAGGCACTAGGCCTTACCAGGACGATCCTCTGTAGGGAGATGCCAATTCCGTGCAGTGGTGGTCGGCGGTGGTTGCAGTGCTGTACCTTGCGTTGTGTATTCCCTCCTCGCGGCAGCTCTTCTCTCAGCTCCAGGCTGATACTGGCCGGCCACTGCCACTGACCAGTCACTAGCTCACTGGCTGACTAGCTACAGACTGACTGACGGTGCTCTGGAGAGCGCAGTATATATACGCCTCGGAATGTGTGTACGGCTTCCACGCACATCAATCATACGTCAAGAAAAGGCAGCCAAGCATGTCAGCATCACACGTGACACGCACGTCAGCTTCAGTGTCACGAGTATGGCACAATACAAGCCCGTGTCGAGCACGTGTACACTGCCACAGCATGCGGGGATTCGGCCTACATCGAAGCCTACATCACCCAAGGACCCTGGGCAGACTGCAGGGGGTAGAACGCGGGGATGTGACGCTGCGACAAACCGAAATTCGTTACACTACCCTCCCCTGTCTTTCGAGTCTCGGCCCGTGAGACTCGACCAAAAGGGGGCGCTAACGAGCATTCGGGCGCAGCCACATCAGTAGTGCGTTGCTTACCTATGGGTGCTTCCCATGGATGGGGGCCTCGGGGTATACCGAGACTACCTGTTTTGACAGGGTGTGCTAGAGACTATGCGGAGCATCTCCACGCATGTCCGTCAGCATCACACGTAACACGCACGTCAGCTTCAGTGTCACGAGTATGGCACAATACAAGCCCGTGTACACTGCCACAGCATGCGGGGATTCGGCCTACATCGAAGCCTACATCACCCAAGGACGCTGGGCAGACTGCAGGGGGTAGAACGCGGGGATGTGACGCTGCGACAGACCGAAATTCGTTACACTTATCTATCACATTAAATTGGGCATTTGGTCGATACAATTTATTCAGATAATAGATTATAGATCTTATGAGCATTTTATTATAAAACAGTGCCTACATAATGATAGAAACATAGAGATTTGCATCAGAACTCTGCTAATTTGGGTGTTTTTAATGAATTTTGTAATTTGGGCGTTTTACTAGGGGTCGTAATTTGGGCGCCGGTATTCGGTATGAAAAATGGCTTGGATTAGGCCCTGTTAGTGATTATTGTAATTATAATAGGCTCTTCATTAGTCCAGTCCGGTCTCTCTTTCAGTTCATTACTAGTAAGCCGTACTCGCATGCGGCTGTGCATGCTTGTAACTGCGATCATTGCTTTCATCTACCGAAGAGACACCTGATACATTAGGCAGCAGTGAATTAAATATTTTGGAAAATGTGTCTCATATTTAACAAACCATTACAGTACTTAATGGTATAACAGCAAGTGTCGACAATAAGGCTAGCATATTTTAGACCACTCGTACACCATCACTTTCCCCCAATCATGCAACGACTGAAATTTAATTTACCATCTTCTTGTTGACGTAGTTACATGATGCTGTCACTTGTATTTGCACACTGCTATTATCATTGATCTTTCCTCATATACTATATTGTGGTATACATAGTGATATATGTATTCTAGACTACTAGTTCTTTGCATTGGCTGCTGATAGAAAACACAGCCAATCTAATTCTTACACTCTATATAAAGAATTTTCATGAGGAGAATGTCAATATAACATTGCAGACTTTACCACTTGAAACTTCAAGTCATCCGACACATTGTTTTCTCCTGCTAGTGGTGCACTCTGGTGGGCTGCAACTATCTGCTCATAGTTTCTGCAACACATCATTTAATCTTGTTACAGGTAAAGATGATACACTCTACCATAGATAGAGGGGTTTAATGAGAATTTTAGATAGGGATGGTTTAACAAGCTTTCACTATGTAAAAAGGGGCCTAATTGATTCCACTTAAGATAAAATTGAGCAGTATTAGCAATAGCAGTGGTAGTAGTAGTGGCAGTGGAATTGGTAGTATAAGTAGTATCGTGAAGTATGAAAGACAGGTGAAGTCAGTGGGACAGTGTGAACAGGTGAAAACATTTAAATTGAAAGTTAATTCAAATGTGTAATTGTTGTATATTTTGATGGATGGAATAACAAGAATGTGCTGAAACACTGACTTCACTACAGACAAACACTTACTATTAGGCAAGGACTGGTGGCAAGTGCGCAACTGGTTGGGAAGCATTAAAATACATTCAGAAACATTACTTTATGGATGCCAATTATGTAAATTTATTAACTCACGCCTTCATAATCTGAAGAGCGACCACGTCTTTCCGCAGCATGCTAAGATCTTCTTCTTGTTTCTTTTTCTCACGTAGCAAAAACTGTATGTAGTCGATAGCTAAATAACACAAAGAAAGATGAAATAATTCATGAATGATTGGCAGATACCAAGACACGAAATAAATCAACAGAAATATCAGATAATCGAAGCACGATGTCTAAATGGATAAGAAACGTGATATTGCCAGTACCACAGATATTGGCAAGTCAACCTTTCGGATATATGGCCGAACAACATATTGTATGCGTATGTGTATACATATGCGTACATCTGTGGCATCAGCCACTTCTACAATGTATTTATAGAGTTAAGAAAACCAAGCCATAAACCAGAAAAGATTTTGTTCTAGAGAACAATATCTCCTACTGGCCCCAGCAACAACCTTAATCTTCCTCATACGTACACCTCTGCAACACGGCAGCCTTGCTGAGTTTCTGTGAGCCAATGCCGTCGGAGTTCTGGCACGTAGGCACCATGTCCTGTAGATCGTCGTAACCCTTCTTAATGGCATCGCGGCGTTTCTGCTCAGCGAGCTGGTGTGCCTCACGCCGTCGGTCCTTGTACGACATATTCGACTTGTGGTCGCTGTCATCTTCATCTTCTGCAAATTAGGGAAATATTATTGATTATGACAGTGTTAATAATTATGTTAAGGAACTAGGGCTGTAACGATACACATACCTCTCGATTCGATCTGTATCTCGATTCCTTCGATTCGATTCCCAAAATATTGAAATGTTATTGTAACATAGGTTTTACAAATGTTGCATGAATTAGTCAGCGAGGCTAGGCTGGGGGGTTGATTTAGTGGTAGTCTATGTAGACAGAGCGTCGCGCATCTTCTGCGGCTAGATTGATGTTATAGGGAGAATGCAAGATGTGACTACACTGTGTGACAAATATTAAAAAACATTTATTCAGTTTAACACACAAGTTTGGATTGCTTCTATATCATTTATTCAACAAACGTAATTCAACGTTACATTTTGGTGCCGTGACAGTCCAAAACCTGGGTATTCCTTTGCGGACGCAACATAAGGTACTCCACTATGCCGATCTACGGGCCATACTATGCAAGGGAGATGGAGAAGGAAGAAGACACAGGAGGAGTCGCTGGGTACACCGCTGGCAAGAAAACTGGTGAGAGCGAAACGGAGAGCAGACGAGAGAGCAAGAGAGACGGAGAAAGAGAGAGAGAGACGAAGAATGACGGAGAGCGAGAGAGAGAGACGAAAAATGACAGAGAGCGAGAGAGGGACGGAAAGAGCGAGACGCGGAAGAGAGAACGGTGGATACACACGGCGTAGGAACTACTGTGAGTAAGTCAGCGTGAAGGAAGGAAGGGCCGGTGTTGTATTTGTGATACTGCGAGGGCAAGTCCGAGTCTTCACCTGTGTGTGAGAGAGAGAAGATAGCAGAACAGAGAAGGCAAGGCTGACAGAGCAAAGACAGAGGACGTGAAAGATAAATTGCGAACTGTAATGGCTAAAAAAAATTCAGGGAATTCTAGAATTTAATTGGTGGAAAGCTTTAAACTCATGCCGTCGAAACTGGACGTGAAAGTGTGACATCATCAGGAATGTGTATTTTTATGTTTTTTCTTTGTTTTATGTACGCGGTATTTTTTTTCATGGTAGATGCTTGTGACCGTTTGTCTTTGTGTGGGAAAATCTTTTGTGTGAAACTGTGTAAAAATGTGTGATCGTTTTCTTGAATTTGTCGTAACGGTACATTTACACTATATTGTCAGACTGCTAAACACATTTTTAATTAGAGTTTGATAGGCCTAAAACATTTAATCGAAAATATGAAATCATTTTTGCGTTTTTTTTTGCTGTATGATTTGTGGAAGTGACAAAGGTTGTCAGGTCCACATCGGTGCTGTGTGTAATAATGGGATTAAGAGGTTTACATGATGATGATATATAATGCCCGGCCCCTCCACTCCGAGGTCGAAGAGACCGCATGCGTGTTCCCAAAATCTCCGGTAAAGGGGTATTTTTCGCGAGACCAAATCCGGCCCAAGAATTGTAAAAAAGGGGGTGTATTTGACTTTTCACCCGGAGATTTCTTTAAAAAGGGGGTGTTTTTCCTCTTCTCTTTCATCTTGAATATCATAGAAAACTTTATCAAATCCCGAGATCAAATTCCTGAAATTAGTGCTAGGTTTGAAAGCTCATTCCAGGATTATTTCATTTTGAAAAGTAAAAATATTGGCCCCTAGTTCCCTCGATCACTAAACTTCTTCACTACGTAGTGTAAGATGGTACCCGGTCGACAAGTTCAACACGCTACACTTAACGTTACAGTCAGTGTAGTGAAGGATATGTACCAGAATGAAAGTGGGCGAACGGGTACCAGTCTATACGTAGTGTGGAGTTCAGTGCCATCTATCGACATCATAGTACAACGACTTTCTCGAATCTGTGATAGCAGATAAAACAGAACGTGTACATGTGAATACGGGCATCGTCAGGACCTCTTCGGATTTAGGGGTGCTCCAAGGCAGGAAATATACCCGCAAAAAGGCCGCGAAAGGTGGCAGGTTCAGAAAATTTTGGGCAGCCCTGAGATAAGGGGTGCTCTTCAAGCAGAGAAACGAGCACTATGCGTACCTAAACTAACACTGAGTTGGAGGGCCGGGATATAATATGGAGCACCATGGCGGAAACTGTTTCAGTAATGCGTGTCGGATACGCATATGCCACATACGCTTACAGCATAAAAAGACGAAAGATGAGAGTAATTGCAGCGATATAAAAAATGCTTCCACTGGCCAAATCGTGTTGAATTTCTGACTGTGTATGGTGATCGACTTTTCATTACTTGTTTTGTATAGAACTTTTATGCTGTATATGTATTTTTTAATTGTAATTTGATCGTAGTTTGTTGAGTATTGATTGTGGGTTGTTTAATTGGACATAATACGTTTCTTCGTTGGGTTGAGTTAGACGAAAGTATTAGCGGTAGTATTTTTTTAGAAATTTGGTTTAGGTTTACGGCCGTACCAGCTTTATAATATGGGGGGGTTGTTTTCAATGTTGGCCAATTTTGATCGGAGGGGTGCGTGTACAGCGATTTGCTACCAGGGGGGGGGTCTAACCGTAACCCAAAGTTGGAGCACGCCGAAGGGAGTCGGGTACGCAAAAGGGCTAAAATTTTTTAAATTAGGACCCTCTCAGTATGCGTTTTCTGCAGCGAGCAAGGGGGGTCCGGAGCTCCCTGGACCCCCCCAAAACACTCCCCTGCTCGGGCGCGAAGCGCAGGGCGAAGGAGCCAAGCGACGAGCCCCGAGCGGGGGAGGGTGTGGGAGGGGGTGTTCACTGTTCACCTCCCGCCCGATTGGAGATGAGGTTATGCAATTTTTACACTAATAACTGAGCGACCTGAGGCTGAAATTCTTGCAAAATTGTTCAAATATTATTTTTTTTGACTTCGTTGCGGCCGTGGGGCGGGACTGGCTCGGGGGGGGGGGTTCCGTTCGAACCCCCGAACCCCCTGGCGCTACGCCTGGCTTCTTAGGCTGAGTGTAGACATCAGCCGGGGACGGTGAATCGCTACAGACGGTAGTCTCGTTGCTTGGAGGAGGGGGGCAGATAATGTAAAACTAGTTTACAAATGTTTCCATGAATTAGTCAGCAAGGGCTAGGCTGCGGGGTTGATTTTATGGTAAGTCTATGTAGACAGAGCGTCGGCGCATCTTTGGGCTAGATTTATGTTATAAGGAGAATTGAATTTAAACGTCGTTTTGGCGGCGTTTCTAGCGGTCATTGTGAAATGGAGGATAGGACGCGTCTGGGAAACGGTGATCAAAGCAACTGGGGACATGTGCTGCTCAGGATGTAGGGAGTTTTGGCGGGCTAATATATTAGGAGGTCTAGGAGATGATTGAGGAGGAGATAGAGAGAGATATAGGGTCGGATCTGGTTTGCTCGCGGAGTAAGCACACGGTTTTAGGCGGTGTGCGCGTTTCTTTGCTCTCTCTGGCAAGCATGTGACTACACTGTGTGACATATATTAAAGTTTTAATTCAGGTTTAATACACCAGCTTTGGATTCCTTCTTATCATTTATCCAACAAAACGTAATTTCAACGTTTACCTTTCTTATTTTGTATATTTTATTATTTTGAATAAAGACCATTTTTAACCAACTATTACATTCATGTTTTTCTTATTTTAATATAACAAAAATCACTTAAGCAGATATTAAATTATAACAGTAAATAGGTCAAATGAACTAGAATGTGAGAAATTGCTATGGATACTGATCACAACGCGTATTGTTCATGTGTTCCCAAGCCCTGTATGTGTGAAGGTCACGTGGTCGTGATCGTGTAGTTGGAGATGGCGGAACAGAAGTGTAGAATAAATAATGTGTTATCTTTCACTCTGAGTTAAGGTTGTATACTGGCGTGTTACATGAGTGGGCAGCGTGGCTGCGAGTCGGTAAGGCACTATCAACAGTGGCAGTTACGTCGGTGACAATATATTCGTACTTTTTCATCGGAGGCACATTCGTCGTCCGACAACCAACAAGTCGCCAAGTTACACCACGCAGCTGTCAGAGCACAATACCGGAAACTTGCGCCGTGTGGTCAGAGTTAGCGCCGTATGGCCCTGTCGCGAAATGCGGCTGGGCGTTGTAAACACCTAGCCGTGACGAGCGGATTCAGATACAGGACTGGAAGTCCGCGATACTAGACAGACTTGCAGACAACGGTGGTGACTATTCATAGCCTCGCTGTGCGGGATGTACAGCTGTGACTGACTGAGTGATACAAGTCTATCTTACGTTATCGTGGTGGGCGCCAGCTCGCCAATGGTCAAGGATAAAGAACATGGCCCAGCAATTCTCGTGGGATCAGGTAGGACAGGGACTATAAGAGTAAGAATGTACAGTCGTAAGAGGTCTACGTTAGCGTACCAAGATTCCTACGGCGCCGGATACATACCAGGAAGCAATTGAAACTTATGGACCGTGTTTTTCATAGATCTACATGCACAGGTCATGGGCATTGCAATTATGTAACAGTACTACTATTGTTGTTAGAGAACGTGTTCGCGTGGTATGCATGTGTTAAGCCGCTCACTGTATTGATTATTACGATGTGTTAAGAGGCTTACTTTAAATGGGCTATGTTCGTAGTTATGATGGTACCACAAATTTTGGAGTATGTACTACTTAGGTTAGAGGCACATCTACGGAAAGTTCAGTGCCGATTAAAATGCTGTATGACAGTACACCTCCGCGATATTTGCATACACAAGTACCGGTAAGTAGTGTAGATGCATGTTTTCTACACATACCGGCATAACACATCTTGTTGACGGTGACATTGCAGGTAGTGCACCACAGGGATCCAGTATGGGAGACATGAAGAATGAACTGTACCGAGGCCGAAAAGGATGACCTTGGCCACCCACAGGCAAAGCAGCGGGATGTTCCTGCCAACATGGTACAGGAGGTGCAACATTATTATAGGCAAATGATTAAAGGGCACCAGGGTCCGGTAGACGCTCACCGGTGATGACAAAAGGTTGAATTTGGAATTGCGACAAACACGACCTGTGGGAGAACTACTCCATCGCATCCCAGTTAG